TCGAGTTTCACCAGTCCCAGGAATTTCAGAGCCATCACAAGTTCGTGAGCGAATGTCAGCAGGTATTAGTGGTAAAAACCACTATTTTACTAGTATTTACTGGTGAAACCACTAGGTAGGGTTGATAGACCCCCACTCTAGTTACACCATTCGATGCGGAATGACGAGATCTATCCATCACAGAAGTTTCAGACTCATCACAAGTTCCTGAACGAATATCAGCAGGTATTAGTGGTAAAAACCACTATTTTACTAGTATTTACTGGTAAAACAACTAGGTAGGGTGGATGGACCCCCGCTTATCTTACACCATTCGATGCAGAATGATGATATCTATCCATCACAAGTGCTTAGAGATCCATCACAAGTGCTTGAGCGAATATCAGCAAGAAATACTCGAATCCGCTGCTAACTTCCACTACGTCCACATTGTCTCCTTCCCAGGTCAACAAATTCGATGCTAGATCCGATGGGATCCGAGTATAGGATTGTTTGACCTGGGATGTTAATGTAGCATATAATTGAGAAGATCTATTTATTACTTTTGAAGATTTGATCAGTTTCCCATTAGAATTGATTCACCTTATCGTTGATGCACGTGAACTTCGTCAAAATCAACCACATAAAGTTGCTGTTCAGTTTAGAGATGCGCAAATACAAATACAATTTGTACTCTGAATTCATCACGAAATATTTTAATCTCTCAATACTATATCTCATAAATTTGCGGTAAAATTTACTCTCATCTACTGTTATGTACTGACCCGACTTTATGTCTCGAAAACCTAGAATCGATTGGCTTGTACTGACATGTATTGACCTAGCTTTGTGTGTAAGTTACTTAAAATCGATTACTCATCAGCTAGATACAGTTGTTTTATGTCTTGAATCTTTGCACTACGCTGTATCAGAGAAAACCTCAGAAGTATGTCTTTCAGATCTTCGCATAGCATATCACATCGAGGCGCTTGGAACAACTAGAGAATTTGAAAAGAGCAACTTAAGCATCCATGTTTCTCCATCTTGCCCGTTTCCACCTCGGAATGCCGCTGATGACGAGCTCCACAGATATCCTCATTTCACCATCTTGCTCGTTCCTCCATGCGAATGCCGTTGATGATGGGCCATCAGAGAACGTTAAGATACTTTCGATTTTCCTTGGATGCTTTAGTTTTGAGTCTATCAACCTTGTTCCAGAGGAAAAATTCAGCTGACAGATCGCAATAACTTCGGTGAAAATTCAAATCCCTATTGGAATTACCAGAAGCCTTCAATGCTGAGATTAAATTTGTTATTAGCATAATGCTTGCTCGCAAACGTATCACTGCATATCAATTGGATCACAGAAAGATATGTATTCAATATAGATACTGTTCGTTGCTTCAAATCTTCTGTTTCCTACACCCAAGATCTTAACCGGCGACAAATGTGGTCCAGCTTTCACTACATATCGGTAACAAATAACCAATGCCATATTTCCTACAGCCAAACCAGTGTCACTACATAAGAGTACAAGGCAACCGATTCTAGGTTTCCGGGACATAAAGTAGGGTCAGTGCACGACAATACATGAGAGCACATTATAACGAACTTGAGATGAGAAGTGCCCGTGATTTGATGACACACACTTTATTTGGCTTCTTCACGTAACAAGCTGCTCTTTAGTTATGAGATACACGCTTATATAGGTAACAGTGAACAATGCATATCAGCCAAGTATAGCGGTCATGCTAGTGTCGATGAGTCAAGGTCGCGTACAGGTCAGGATATAGCAATATATCCCGTTACACACATGTCAGTACATCACAGTACAAGCTATACTGTCTTAGCTATGTCAGATTGAATGTAGGAGGTAAAGGTGGCTGGGGATACCTTTATTCATAGAAGAAATCAGGGTACAAAATGTACTGGTACTCGCGCAGCTCTCCGTATATATATAACGAATTCTTATTGCTGCGAATTGATCGGTCAGCTGTGGCACAAACAAATTCAACTGCTTCTAACAAAACTGGATATGGTGTTATTGTACACGTTTTATATAATAAAAGAAAGATCAGACTTTCATCAAATACAACAAAAATAATTTTGTCGTTGTATCTCGAAGCAAAATGATGGTGGAGACGACAGAAAGAGAGAGAGACATACAAACATCGAACCATGATGATGATTACAACTCCGTGTCAGGTAAATGATGACAATCAAATTCGCTGGAAAAATATCTTCCCAAGTGTACATATCACACCTTAATTATCAACATTTATCTCTCTATACATGGCTTCCGTTCTAGTTCGATAATGATGTGTCATTCACGCCCGTCCGTGACTTTGTACGACACTTCTCTTCTTTGGTCATATTCTATCCCGCTTCATTCGTCTTTCTCAAACAAAATCACGTAAAAGTATTTCCCTGACAAACATTTTTTTCCTTTGATAACTCACATAACTCACACACGTGTGTCAGCTCGAAGGAGGAGAAAACATAACTCGTACAGGTATTGAATAATAGCTTTACAGTAACTCGGAAAAAAGATAGGATATCTGATGTTTTGATCTTTCATATATCATGTCTCTGTTTGTATTGACGTGACTTTTACACAGAGCATCATATGATGACAGTCTGAATTAATGATAATTTCTTTAGCAGTTATCATTAAGAAATAAGGGTGCAGTCAGTCACTAATCGTATAAATAGGCAAAAGAAGAGATGAATGTGCATATCATTCTGTATTCATTCTTCATTGCAAGACAAACATGAATAGCTTCAGTCTACTGATCTTTGCGTTAATAACTGTTTGTTCGATAAACAGCGCAGCTGTGAGCCGGAACAATGGTTTTCAATCATACATCGATAATCTTTTGAATGAGTTGGAGTCGACATCGATGGATGCTATACTCTACTGGAATTATGTCACTCTGCAAACATGTGCCAATGATTATGATCCCTTGGTTGCTGCTACTCCAGATCAAGTCGGCCCAACAGGCACATCTCGTGCCTTTGCCATCATTCATGGCGCCATGTATGAAGCAATGGCGTCATTCNGCCGGAACAATGGTTTTCAATCATACATCGATAATCTTTTGAATGAGTTGGAGTCGACATCGATGGATGCTATACTCTACTGGAATTATGTCACTCTGCAAACATGTGCCAATGATTATGACCCCTTGGTTGCTGCTACTCCGGATCAAGTCGGTCCAACAGGCACATCTCGTGCCTTTGCCATCATTCATGGCGCCATGTATGAAGCAATGGCGTCATTCAATGCATTGTACAAACCCGTGTACAAACTAAAGAACATGCCAGACACTAATTCTGTTTTCAAAGAATCAGCGGTCAATGCAGCCATCATGGAAGCAGCCTATCAAACATTATACGCTCTCTATCCCAAACAACGTCCAATCTTCGATGCTGTGCGAAAAGCATATCTTAAACAACAGAAAACCGATGGCAACAAGCAAGCAGGCATCAATGGCGGTGTTCTCATTGGTCAAATCATCGCCGCATTCATTCTTGCCGATCGTGAGAATGATGGTAGTAAAGTAGACAAAGCATACACACTCATCAAGCTACCTGGCTATCATCAACCCGATCCAACTCATCCCAATCAAAGCTTTCTGGGTGTTAACTGGGGTAACGTGCGACCATTTCTGCTCAGTAGTGGCTCTCAGTATCGCCCATCAAACTTCATTGGTGATTCTATTCTTACTCGTAATAAATATCTCAACTCAACCAAGTATATTAATGAATTCAATGAAATCAAATCGTTGGGTGCCAAGACAAGTACTGTTAGAAGCAAAGATCAGACAGAAATCGGTATCTATTGGGCATATGATGGTGCACCGAAACTTGGTGTGCCTCCTCGTCTATACAATCAGATTGTGCGCGTCATTGCCATTCAACAATTGAATACACTCGAAGCCAATGCACGGCTCTTTGCTCTGGTGAACTATGCAATGGCTGATGCAGGAATCGCAGCATGGAATGCCAAGTATTACTACAACTTCTGGCGTCCAATTGTAGGCATTCGACAAGGAACAGGCTACACCCCAGGTGATCCTAACTGGTTACCACTTGGCTCACCCGCCGATAATGCGGGTAGTACTGATTTTACTCCTGGTTTTCCCGCGTATGTCTCGGGTCATTCGACGTTTGGTTCGGCGACATTCGAATCACTGCGGCAGTTTTACAACAAGGACAACATCCGTTTTCAGTTTCAATCCGATGAATACAATGGCAAAACATTCGATTCCAACACGGGAAAAATACGACCAGCCAAAATTCGTGCTTTCCAGTCGTTGACAGAAGCAGAAACAGAGAACTATCTCAGTCGCATCTACCTCGGTGTGCACTGGCGCAGTGATCAAGAAGAAGGACAAACACTTGGACGAAAGGTGGGACAACATGCCTTCAGAAAGTTCAACTAAACACAAAGCTAAGAAACGCTTTAATTCAAATTGTTTCTTTGTCAATTCATTGTTCTTATTTAGTTTCATTTTATTTTTATAATTCAGAGATCGATAACCTTACATATATTGTTTGTTTTTCGTTCTATATCGTATATGTTCTATTTTTGCCTTTTCTGCTGAGCGAAAGTCGAAATCTTTTAAAAAAAGAATTAATTTACTGAAAAAGTCCATTGCGACCCGATATATTTGTGTTGTAACAATAACTGTGGAGTATTTCCACGAATACGCAAAGCATATATTTTGTGGCAGCTCAATACAAATACGACATGAAGACATTTCTTAATCGAAAACATGCCTATTCGGCTCACTCTAGGAAGATGTTATTAGCCGTAGTTTACATTAAATTGATTGGGAAATTAAAATCTTTGTGTCCAGCCAAAAAAAGAACACATATATTCATGTGGCGTTTTTTTACTACAAATGACAATTGATGAGAAAGAAGATTCCAGTGCGATAGATTATCCTCACCTTTTCTTGCAATCAATGCTGATAAACAGGATAAGAATGGCTCATCACATATTTCTTTGTTTTCATATTTTTTTATTTCACACAACGATGGATCACTGAATTATATTTCGATAAAATTTCATTGAACTCGTCGTTGAACGAGTATTCATTCTTTATCCAATGAAGTTCAAAATAAAGAAGATGTCATCTGCAGGAAAAGTTCATTGAACCGAGTGGTGTGAGCAGATTAGAGTCCTGAAAACGGATCGGGTACGCGAAACCGAGCCCGGACCGGCAACTAGTGACTTCACCGAATTTGTGACTTTATAATCGCCGTGATAAGATACATCTTCTACTACATTCATTGTCGCCTGAATGTATTATAAAATGTTGTATTGCCGAGTCCAACTCAAAATTTCACCATCGACTATCATATAAAAACGAATTCAAGTAAGAAATCATATGGGTTGTACTTCTTTTATCTTCAAAAATTAGCAGATATAATATATGTAGGTAGAATTGTGCAGACAGAACATAATCTCCTAATAAAACAATAATACAAAAAAGAAAAAATGTTCACATTTGATGAATTAGATTAGATCAGATAGTGAAACGCTGACGAAGCAAATAAAAACAAGTTAATTGGTAGACATAGAGATAGCTGAGGCTCGGTAAAAAATAAAAAACAATGCATATATAGTATCCAGGTCGAACAATCCCATATTCGGATCCGATCGGATCCAGCATCGGATTTGTTGACCTGAGTATATGACACTGAAGGATTCATCAATAACTTCTGACTTGTGATAAACAATGCATTATCAAATTTTTTTGCATCGTTCCCTCTGTAATCGATGAAATATTTGGATACATATTACTTTTCAATGGTTGTATCATAAGAATTGTGTATATTACTAATCAGAAGTGTTAAATCTATATCTTAAACCGAAATAGAAGAGAAATACGTGAAAATAAATAACACATATTCTTATACAAAATATTTCTTGTTTCCTTCATAATTTACGTGTCCGAATTATTATGTAACAACAGTCAGGAATTAATAATCGTATATTAAAAATAAACTTTGACTCCCATTTATCTATTCAATCTATGAGAAATGTAATTGATTTGGTCACGCAGTTCCATGAAAAGGCAATGATTTTTCGGTCTTTTTTTTACTATAACTACCTTTCGCTTGTTTAAAATAGAATAATGCTTTATCAAAATCAGGAATACAACAATGAAGTTTGCTAAAATTATGTAACGTTTCACCTACGAAACGATGATCTTTTGGTAATGTTTTTTTTATTAACATCGATTGCTTCGTGATATTTTAGTTCTGCTTCAGTAAATCTTCGTTGTTGAACATAAGTTTCTCCGAGATGATCTAATGTAGTACCAATACAATCATGACTTTTCGAAAATGCTCTTGTAAAAGCATCATATACCATCTGTGTATATCGTAAAGCTTCATCGCTTGTTTCCCTATCTCGAAATAGTTCACCAAAATCAATGTAAGTTAAGCTTATATCAAGATGTTCTGGTGTATCTTTATGAATTTCTTTTCGAACTTCTAATGTTTTCTTGTAATAATAAAATCAGTGAAAGTTTAGTGGTGGTCAGTAGGAAATAATTGAGGAAAGGTAAATCGGGGTTGAGGATTATGAATCCGGGTTAGTTTTTCGAAAACAAGTCCGGCTCATTTTTTGCGACAAAGGACAACTTTTTGCAAAAAGCATTTTGTTGAAGGGTTGACTGAAGGGGAACAGCGGTAGAGAATTACGAATCTGATGTTAGCTTTTGAAAATACTAATTAATTAATCAACTTATCATTGATTGTAATAGTGTGGAGTGTTCTCTCGACTAAAGCTGGACAATACCAATGAATGATTAGCTAATTTACTTAAACTTCGAACTTTAATCTCTCGAGTTTACAACTTACGATTTTGTAAATAGAAGTGGCGAAGGTTTGAGTGAAGTCGCAGGCTTTATGTTTATCAATGTGAATTTAAAGAGGAAATATACGATACGATGATAAACAATTGTAAAATTTTTTTATTTCGAAAGAAAAAAGATTTCATTTCGTCGTTTATCTAATCAACAGTTTTTTTTCAATTTTGAAAAACAAAATCTCGAAGAAATTTTGATTCCAAAGGACCAGTTTGTTCCACAAGTGAACTAAAATACGAATTTGGATTAGATAAAAGATTTTTCGGCGTGTCAAATTCTACTAATCTCCCATGATGAAGAACTAATATTCTTTGATTATCAATAATTGTTCTTAAACGATGAGCAACGGTTAAAACAGTTGATTGCTGAAATTTCTCTCGAATTGTTCTTTGTATCAATTCATCCGTTCTAAAAAATCAAACTAAATNAAATTAAATCACCTACATTTACATTCAACACAATACTATCCACACAAAACGGCGAATCTTTACTCCACTGAGCATTTTTTAAATTACAATAAACATTTATCGAACGATTTTCTTCAATTGATGAAGAAATGATTTGTTTCTCTCGATAAATTTCATCGAGTAAAAGAAAATTCTAGAAGAATTCGAAAGAAAAAATTGATTAAAGAAAACAAAAGGAATACTTGAATTCTCTTTTGTGCAGCCAGATAATTGACAAATGCTTTAATTGCAATACTAAAAAATTCCACAATTGGTGTTCTCATATACGAAAGTAAACAAGAAGCAAGTGCAAAGAATTTCGGATTAAATTCCATATCGAAGAACCACATTAACGAATAAATCATATAAAATGTTAAAACAATATAAGTCTGTTGAAATATTAATTGAATACTTTCATAGATTAAACGATATCCATATTGAATTAATTCATTTCTAAATTGAAATATGTCGTAGAAACAAAGAAAGGATATGAGAGTTGTTTTCCTTTGGAAAGAAAAAGAACTGATTTACTTTCTTATTCGATGAATTTGATTCTCCATTGGAATTTGCCATGTGTACATTTTGATAATTCGCATTGATTTGATAATTTCCGACATTATTTTGATTCGTTCATCAGTTTTTTGTAAAATTTGATTTCTATTGAAAAACAATGAGATGAAAAAGAAAGAAAAAACACTTACTGATAATGAAGAAAGATTCGACTGAACAACATTTGAATGAGCAAAAGTAAAACTGTATATCCAATTGCAATTAATGATAAAGATTTGATGAAATACCAAAAAAAATAAACAATTAGAATAATTTCAATTGGAGATAACTATACAATGAAGAATTTTCATTAAAATATGAAAATGAATTGAAAATTTTACCCATAAATGATGAAAGAATAGCAAAGCCATTTCGATTTGACACGCGTCATTTGATAAAAGATTTGTTATTTTTCCCGAATTGACTTCATTCAATTGAAAACTCGATAGACGAAGAATTTTGCGAAAAATCAATCCTTGATACGCAATTCTCATTTCCAATGATAATTTCAATAAATGATAATACGCCTAAAAATACAATTTCGTAAAACTTCTCTCGAAGACAAATCTCTTTGTTATTCACTTGATTAAAGAGAAAACTCGAGAGAAAAGCGACAAGAATCATTGAAATCGCAAAAGACCACGCTTTCCAAAGAGACATTTGTGAACACGGATGAAAATAATCCATGAGAAAGATTAATAGCAACGGTTGGCTTATATTGAAGATTTCTTTTATTAAAAGACAAATTCCCAAGAAAATCATTTTCCATTGAATCGTTTTTCGAGTTATTTCCAATAAACTCAATTGATTTGACCAATTTATTTCAAGTTTATCAATTAGATTTGATGAATGAAGATTTGATGGAATTTTCGATAAATCATTTAATTCAATTGTCCCTTTGGCACGACGTTTTTTAAATAATACGTCGATCCAGCTGAAATTCCTTTGGATAATCAAAATCCTCAAACAAAAACAAAGTTTGTCCTACCTGAAGAATACTTTTGAACAGTAGTTTGCATTTTCATACAGATCGTCATTCATCTTTACTTGTAAATGATGACAAATGAAGAAATCTCTTATCTTTTATCTTCATTGATAAACATTCTCAAATCAAACTTCTCAATGACAAGCGTTTTTTTTCAAACAAAACGAATTTTCATGGTGAAAAAAATCAATGCATCACATTGAAAATATTTTTTCCAAAGCTCGACGACAGGATGAGAACTCTTGAGGACACTCGACAACGATGTAGTCGAGCTATTCTCATACTTTTGTACGTAGAACAATGAGCTCTTCTATAACATTTCATATATATTTGATCTTTTTATATTCATGAAAAATATTTACATTCTATACCCCGAAGAAATTTTAGTGTTACATTAATTATTAATGTTGTTTGTCCTATATGAAAATAGATATTCGCGCCTATGCGTTTATCATTTTAGTTATTCATTCACACAGTCAATAATTAGCTTGTCTACTTTCTATGTTTTTCTAAAGCAGCAACGCTATAGTAAAACAAAAGATTTTTATACATTGAATATATTGAAGTACACAAATTCACATATAAATGAATTCGAACCATCAATGAAACATTTGAGAACTCTTGTATATGTTGTTGTTGTTGTTATATTTATAATCTCACTCTAAGTCCTATCGGAGAAAAAAACTTGAGAGGAAAAGTGACGGAATATCGTTAGAACACATAATTGCACGCGACAACAGGAAACTCGTCATGCTACGTTCAATCTTTGTTTTACAGTTGTGCATAGTCTATTTGGATTTAATGCGTTATCATG